TGGTTCCAGAATTTCAATACTTGGGGCTTGGGAGAAAACGGACTTCCACAATAAAGGCAAACTCGGGGTACAGAGAGATGCGGCAGTTCCAGTAGCAGAGCCGGTGGAAGGAATAAAGGAGCCACCCCAGGCGGGGCTGGAACCCCAGGGCAGGTGGGGAAGGCTGCTCACCCATCTTGGGACACATTTCGGGGTAACAGCTGGCTCACAGTCCCCTTCAGCTTAAGGTCCCCCCTGGAGGGAGTGAGGTGGTCTGGCGAACTCCCCTGCCTAGGGGAGAGCCCCGCTGGCGTTTCACTGGGAACGTGTTCGGGAACGCAAGTGGGGGAGGCAGAGGAAGGGGTGCCTCCTACCAGCCTCCGGGAGCACCCGACCCCCACCCCAAGGTACCCGCCTCCCAGCCTGCTGCGGCCTCTCCTCTGGCTGAACCTGGCGGAGATAAGGCCTAATTTTACCCGAAGTCACATCATTACAGTCCCTGGGCGAAGACTGCCTTCACTTCGGGGAGGGAAACTGGGCCCAGGCGGGGATTGGGGGGCTGCAGGCAAAAGGTCCGGCCTGGGACCACCCTGGTCTTCCCTCTTCCTCCCCACTCTGCACATTCCTCTAGGGCAGTGGTTCTCAACCTTCCTAAGGCCGAGACCCTTTAATACAGTTCTGCATATTGTGGTGACCCCCAACCATTAAATTATTTTCGTTGCTACTTCATCACTGTCATTTTGCTACTGTTATGAATTGTCATGTAAATATCTGATAGGCAGGCTGCATTTTCATTGTGAACAATTGAACATCATTAAAGCATAGTGATTAACCACAAAAACAATATGTAATTATATATGTGTTTTCCGATGGTCTTAGGCGACCCCTGTGAAAGGGTCGTTCGACCCCCAAAGGGGTCGAGACCCCCAGGTTGAGAACCGCTGCTCTAGGGGTTTCCCTTGCTGCGTGGGGGTTGCGGGAGGGGGTGACTGGAGTAGGAAATGGGCAGCCTTCATCCCTGGGCTGTGCTCTAGGACTTGCCCAGGTGTCAGCGCCCCTCCAGGGAAGGCTAAATTTGGGGTCTCTACTCTGCCCCTGGGCCCGAAAATCGAAAATCGGGTAAGAGACGTTTTCATTGAGCTCAAGCCAATGGGTCAAAGTGGAGAAGCTAAGCCAGACTGGGGAGCCTTCCCCCTCTGGCCAGGGGATGAGGGGGTCCTAGGCTCCCTGACCTCACATCTCGCAGAAGCACTATTCTCCATGACAACCAGCCCCCCTCCCCCATGGATAATTGGTCTGTAAGAGGCCCCACAGCCCCTTGCCAGACAGACCTGGGTGATCAGGTTCGCCGACAACAACGTCTACTTGTTTTAAAATCTCCCCAAAGAACTTTTAACAAACTCCAAACATTTTGTAATTTTGAGGGAAGGTGAGCCGGGGAGGAACTTTGGTCTTGGAGAGAGGTTTGACTCTTCAACCTTTCAAAATAAAAACAACTTTGCATGGCCCACCCCAGTGGCAGCCTGGAGTTAAAAGAGGTTTGCTTTATGCCAGCTGCACTGTGATGGGGAAACTGCCTCTCAAATCGTGGCAGCTTTGGGGGAGGAGGCCTGCAGGAACCTAATTATGAGGAAAGATTCTGTGTGTGTGTGTGTGTGTGTGTGTGTGTGTGTGTGCAGTTTCGTAGACCTATCACTGGCCCAAAGTGAGCCAGGAGGCGGGAGTTCTGGTCTGAGGCTCTGGCTCCGTGGGACCTTGAACAAGACACCTTTCTGCCCTGCAATCGCTTGGGCATCTTTAAAGCCATCCCAGGCCTGGCCTTCCAGCCGCAGCCACTGTGGTCTGCCTGTCCTTTCCCCCAGGACACGGCCGGCCACACCTGAGCAAGAGACGCGTTGCCCTGGAATTGCCTCCCGGCTCCAGGCCAGGCACTGAGTGGCCACCCTGGGAGTCTAGGCTGTGTCCACACTGACCCTGCAGGCACCACCTCTTTTCCATCCCAACTGCGCATTTTCCGAAAGCCTGCAAGCCGCTCATCGCACACTCCTGGAGTTCTGACTCTCCGTAGGAAAGCCATCTGCCCCGAATGGATTCTACTGGCCAACTCAGCTCGGAGGCCACACTCAGGGTCACCCAGCGACGGGCTAAGACCCCTCTGAGCTGCTGGAGCCGCTAAACCTCAACCCCATCTCTGCAGCCACGTGGCTCTGAGGTTGCAGCACTTACCCCAAAGCTCTAGTCCCCCCTCCAGCTGCTGTGACCTGCTGCCCGGAGCTAAGGCCCAGCGCAGAGATCCCTGACCTTGTGCCAGCCAAGCAGCCTTTCTTTACAAACCGTAGTAAACATTTTATTAACAAGGTTGTGGCGTCCTAAGTGCAGCACGTCTTTGCGACCCCCTAGCGCGGGAAGGCACTGCGGAGTCACACGTCACAGTGTGAGCTGCTTGTATCCGGGGAGAGGTGTCCGTCCGGGGAGGAGGGGGTGGCACTGAGACTCCCCAGGCCAGACGCAGTGTGGGCTGTGCCACCAGGAGGCCAGCGAGGGGCAGCAGGCGACCCTGGCGAAGGAGGCTCCACCGATGCGTCTCTGGCCCCGTCCCCGCGGCCAGCACCATAGAGCAGGCACGAGATCCAGCCGCGTAGACGGGTCCCCTGCGCCCTGGTCCAGTCTACGGGCCTCCGAGAGGCGGCTGGGCGGGCTCCGGGCTTTTGGGGGCGCTGCAGAGGCTGGGCTGGGGCGCAGGGAGCAGCTCCGGGGCCAGGCCACCCCCGCTGCTGCCCAAGCTACTGGCGATCCCCGTGCCGGTGCTGCTGCTGCTGCTGCTGCTCAGGCCGCTGAAGCTAAAACTGCCGCTGCCCCCGCTCCCCACGCTGCTGGCGGGGACGAGCGCGCCGGCCACCGAGGCCTTG